AACCCCCCCACACCTCTCCCTCTCTCACACACACACACACACACACACACACACACACACACACACACACACACACACACACACACACACACACACACACACACAGACACACAGACACTCACCTTGTAGGAGAAGAGCGATGCAGAAATCCATAACAAAGCTGACCAGAGCCATGACGAGTCCCAGCAAGATGAGGAAGATCCAGTCCTCGCCGACCCGCGACATGAGGAACCGCTGACAGTGCACTGCACAGACTCCACAGAGAGAAAACTACATTACCCACAATGCACCAGTGCCCAAGATCAGACTGCACTACTCACAAAGTACCAGTGCACACCTGGAAGACTACATAAACAACAGCTACAACAGCAAACAATGCCCACAGCAGTGCAGTGGCTACACAACCTACAGTTTACAGCACACAAACACAACAAGAATCAGCAAAAGTCAAACAACAACAACATGCAAAAAAATATTTAATTTTCTGCCAATAGAAAAAGTAACTTTATATACTGTAGAACATAATTTCTTACAAAATGCTCTGAACCTATAATTAAATATTTGTGAACTACTTTCCCCAGAAGTCCTTCCATCATGAATATTACAACTAATCTACCCACAATTCTGTTCAATTCTAAAACATCCAGTCAAAACAATGACTTGTGCTCCACAAACACGCTCACACAATGTTAATGCATTGTTAGATGACTTGTTTGAGTAAGTCAGAAGGTAAGTTCATATTCTGGACTATATCTGGTACGGGTTTGTGTGATACTTACATATATTTCACTGTAACTTGAGTCATCACATTTACTATGTGCAGAATACAGCAGTTATATCAGAGTTTCGCTCAACAGATAAAGGAATGTGATCATTCTCAATATCTTTTAGAAATATCGATAAATTAAGAAGCAAGCACCAATGAAAAGTGCATAATAAGAGCAGGAATATGCATTAAGAATGTAAATAGAGTCTATTTTGATTGCATGTTTAACTTAAACTGACCGCTTGCTAAATAAAATCTGTGTAAGATTGTTCATATGGATATATATGAATATACGTGTTATTTTTATGCATATTGTTTACATTTTATTCTGTTTTCACTTGAATTTTTACTTAAAGCTTACTTAATTTTTGTGTTTTTGTCATTTTAATTTTTGTAAATGTCTATATAGTATTTTGTTTTATTTAGTTAGTTATTTTAGTAATTATTTTACTTCTGCTGGATGGCAAGGCAACATTTTTCATTTTCATTTAGTTTAAGTTTGTTTTATATTTATGACGTTTATTTTTTAACTTTAATTTACTTAAAGCTTTAGTCATTTTGTTTTGTATTTTTGTCAATTTTATTCGTTTTTAAATGTCTATATAGTTTTTCATTTTTATTTATATAGTTTTAGTTATTTTAGTCCTTAAACATATTTCAGCTAGGCAAGGCAACTTCTTTCATTTTCATTATCATTTTTATATTTCATTTAATTTCAGTTTACACTTATTTTTTTCACTTTAAGGTTATGTATTTCTGGTTTGTGTTTTTGTCATTTGTATATGTTTTTTAAAATCTATATAGTATTTATTAATTTGTATTTCTTTAGTTTTAGTTATTTTAGTACTTCAACTTAAACTAAATGAAAATGAGAAATGTTGCTTTGGCAACTAGCTGAAATAAAATAAGTTTTTTTAATATTGATATTTTATTTCAAGTAATTTTTTTATGGTTTTAGGTTCCTTAAGTCAATTAATCAATATCTGTAGGTTTGGATTGTCTTTCACTTTAGCTATCGTGTGTGAGTGAGTGTGTGAGTGTGTGAGTGTGTGTGTGAGTGAGTGTGTGTGTGTGTGTGTGAGTGAGAGTGTGTGTGTGTGTGAGTGAGAGTGTGTGTGTGTGTGAGTGAGTGAGTGAGTGTGTGAGTGAGTGAGTGAGTGAGTGTGTGGTGAAGCGTTTATGTAAATGTGTGTGTGTGTCACTGCTGGCTTCTGTTTTATAACACCACTCCATCAAAACAAAGTCATTTGCTTGCATTTCTCTCTCTCTTCTTCATTTAACCCCTCGCTTTCTGTTCAAAGCACTAAAATTACCTTCTGTTAGCCCATCCGGATTCACTCACGAGCAGCCAAGAGACAAATGCAGTGTTTCTTACAGAAACTTTTGGGATGTGATATTTACTATTTTTCATAGCGACTTATAAAAAAAGAAGGAACAATTGTGAAAAACAAGTGTGGAAATTGACAAACTCATTCGACCTTTGCTGAAACACTTATGTTTACTCACATTTTCCTTAAGCGGTTATTTGGTGTAAAAAATTATTAGTTATTTTGTAAATAAAATACTAATTATTGGAGTATGTTTTACACTAAAATACTATTTCAGTATTTTTTACTTAAAAATGTTATTAAATGTGTTACTTGCCATTTTTTTGTGAAATTTGATAATTTTTGAGAAAATAGTTTCAAAGCAAATCACTTTCAGTGTAGGTGAGGAAACGGTTTAATACCTTTCTGGAGTTAAAATGTAAATCATTTTAAAGATGTTTAATTACAGTGAAGCTGTTTATAATTTAAAGACATTAAATCACAGATTTAATCTCAGATTTAAAAATAGCTAATCTTTCTCTCTGTATAATTTCCATAAAAACCCAAACAAATTTATAACAAAAAAGGGAATCTCAATTAGGGTGATAATTAGGACTAATTTGCATTTAAAACCCCCACAAAAC